GATTTTTGAGAGAGATGTGTTAAAAGTCTCCCAATACAACTGTAATTTAGTTGGACTACAATTTTTGTTAGATTTTTGTACTCTTTGCTTTGTATATTTTGACCTGCTTTTAGTTACCTAAACATCTGTAAACTACTAAAACACTTTAGTAATTGTGTTTGTTACTTATATGATTCATTTTCTTTTTTTCTTATTGATATTTTTTGCCTTGAATTTTGTTTTGTGTAGTCAATCTTGCAGCTATTAGTTTCTCTTTGTTATTTTTCACCTTTTCATCTTTTTTCCATCCTTAACTTTCAAGTTTTTTTAATAAAAAAAACTTTTTTTGTAAGCCATGTTTAGCTGGATTTAAAAAATGAAAGAATTTTTTAAAGTAGGAAATGGAAATCATTGACAATTTTTATTATAGTTGACCTGACTTATGACATGAATAGATCCTATCTGTCTCCTGCTTCCAACACTGCAATGATTCCCATTTCAACCAGAGTCAAAGTCAGAGTTCACAACATAGTCTATAAGGTACCCCATGACCTATACTACTACTGGCCTTACATATTCCTATCCTCATCTACTCTCCCCCATTCTCTCACTGCACGTCAGCTACACCTTGTTCAGCCACCTTCAAGTTACACCTGAATTCTTGTTCCTAGAATACATCAGACATGTTTGCCTTAGGACCTCTCCTGCTCTCTGGCCTAAAATGTTCCCTAGATACTTACGTGGTCAAGTTTCTTAGCACTTTCAAGTCTTTGCTAAAATACCAGCACTACTAAAGCCCACCCTGACTTCCTATTTAATGCCATAAGCCCCACCTTCTCCATGCTACCTGGCTCTCTTCCAATTTCCCTTATCCCATTCTCCCTACCTCATGCTCTTACTGTCCTTTAAAATACTTTTAAATTTGCTGTCTCTGCTGAGAGAATCTGAGTGTCACAAGAGCAAATATTTTGTCTAGTTCGCTAATGAACGCATCTTTTTAAAAATTTTATTATTCTTTTATTCACATGTGCATACATTGTTTGGGTCATTTCTCCCCCCCTGCCCCCCTCCCCCATTCTCTTCCCTCTTCCCCCCTCAGTTCCAGGCAGGTCCAGTTCTGCCTTTATCACTAGTTTTGTTGAAGAAAAGATACAATCTTAATAAGGAAGACAAGGTGTTTTTGCTAGTTGAGTTGAGGATAGCTATACAGAAATATTCCTAGCATTGTTTTCATGTATACATGTTATGACCCATGTTGATTCATCTCTAACTGATCTTTACCCTGGTTACTGATCCCCTTCTCATGATAACCTCTGTTGATTTAAGGTTTCTGTATTAGCTCCTCTGGGGACATCAAATACTTTCATGTTTTGGGTTTTCTACTTATTTCTATATCACCCAAAAGTGTTCTCCCCTTGTCATGTGGTCCCAGTCCAACCACATCTTAAAATGGCTAGGATAGTGACAGGAGCATAGTTGACAATAAATATACATGGTATCAATTTGGGCACAGGCTTCAATGTCAGAATAATTAGTCTTTGTCTTAGTCAAGTATCTCAAAATATGTATGGATAATTACTAAAGGAACTAGCACACATGGTTTCATTTGAAGCTGCATTTATCAATATGTGATTGGACTTTTAAGACTGCCAGAGGATGGCTAGCTATAAGAGCTGGGGAGGGTATTGCAGGCAGGGAGAAGAGTGACACCAAAAGCCCCAAATGAGAGGAATCTCTTACCTAGGGGTGGTATTAGGTTAATGTCTTCTCAATCAATCTCACCCCTTTGGTGATAGGTGGGATACCTAATCCTCCCTATGGGGCAAGAAGGAAGGGAAAACAGCTGCCAAAGTATTAAGATGGTATACCCTTCTGATTCTCAGTCCCCAAATTTCCTCTTAGGCAAAGATGACCATCAGATAAAAAATGTAAGGCAATATGAACTAAGGAATGCTTGTTTACTTACATTGACTATGGTTACAACCATGAGTAAGCCAGAGACATTTAAATTGCCCACACCCAAGAATCTTCTTGGACCAGAGGCTCAGTATGATTTCCCCTTACAGTTCTGTCCTTTGTCCACTGTGCTAAGCCTCTTCCCTGAGCTTCTTCTGTTCCTAATTACCACTGCTTATTATAGTTACATGTGGCTTTCTTCACCATATTATTATTAAATAGAAGGCAGTTTGTAACCAGAGCAACAGAGAGTGAAGCCTATTCCAGTTATTCCAGTTCCCTCTCTGTGGGACCCCTACTCTGCTCTCTGTTTGGTGTTTCCAACTGTGCTCTTGGCTCATCTCCTTCTGTTTGGGGGGAAAAAAAAAAAGAAAGAAAACTCATAAACACTGGGCAGGCTCCTACTCATTATGTGAATTTAAAGAAAACTAAACCTTATCTATTTTCACCTCCTATATAATTCATTTAATTTTTGATTAATACTATCTGACAGTTACAAATTAGGCTACATTAGGAATAGACTAAAAGTAAGTTAAGCAACTGCAGAAGTGTGGTAGACCAATGAGACAGAAAATTAAAAAGCAAATTTGGAGTTTGAAATCAAGGTAAATAGATGCAGAGTGATGATATCACCAAAAAGTAAGAAAAGTAAGAAAATAAGATGAGAGGAAGATGTTTATAGTTTTATGATCAATTCAGTTTTAAGAGTAAGCTTGAAATGATGGCGGGAAATTCATGTGGCAGTATTCAGAAGGCTGGTAGAGAAGAACAACTTCAACTTGACTGAGAGAAACCTGGAGCATCAGACTTTGGGGTCTCTCACATAGGCGGTAATTTAAATACAGAAAGGACCTCCAGAGAAGAATATCATGATACTATGCACTGAGAAGAGCACAGTCCCACCTCTGTAGTATTCTTGCAAAAAAAAAAAAAAAGTATAACAAAGATTAAGCATAAAATTAACTTGAAAGACATTCTACAAAATAACTGGCCTGTATTCTTCAAGAGTCAAAGAAAGACAGGAAATGTTACAGACACGAGTGAACTAAAGACACAAGACAACTAAATGCAACGCAGGATAGCAAACTGGATCCTGGACTGAAAAGGGACATTATTCAGGTGAAATCTGAATAAGGGCTATAGGTCAGTTAATAATACTGAATAAATGTCAATTTCCTAATTTTGGTAACTGTACTTTGGTTTTTAAAGATGTTCACATGGGGAAGCTTTGAAAGGTAAATGGCATTCTTTGTACTAGTTTTTGCAACATTTTTTCTTCTCAAATTCTTTCAAAACACAAAGTTAAAAGATAATACAAAATTTTTAAAAAGGAGATACATTCACAAAGGGCAATGTTTCTGTGGATACAGCAAGGAACTAATTTGCTAAAGAACTCAATTGGCTTCAGAGGATTATGCTCTTATAGCAGCCTGTGTTAATCAGACAAGCTGACTGAAATAATTAGGCTCTTAGTTTCTAAACTGGACTCTACAATGGCCGAGATCAGCAAAGTAACTGGGAAGGAGTACCGAATAATGGTTCACTGCTATTAGATTTTTTACAACTAATATAGAATTCGAATGGCTTTAATTCATTTATTTGATTTTCAGCATGACTCAGTGAGGAATGGAGGCTGTTACTCACTTTGCAGATGAAGAAAGTGAAATTCAGAGAGGTGAAGTGATGCAAGGTCACAGAGTTAATAAAGGGCAGGGTTGTAACAAGAATCAGTGTCGTGACTCCAAGCTCTGACTTTATCTCAAAGGCTGAGGGATACAGGGCAAGTTATTTCAAGTATCTGCTTCCATTTCTTTAATCAACAAGAAGGCTGCATGAGAATACAGGTACGGTCTAGTCCATGGTTCTATGCATAAGCTCTTTAGTGTGGTGAATGTGTAGTTCTAAATGTCAATCACTTATTTTATAGCCATGTTCCCAAATGATACTTCCTATCTGATCCATATGGTCTCATATTCAAAGAAATTGCTCCTAACTATGTGAGGGGAAATTCTGGCTGAAAAGAAATTTCCTAAGGTACCAAGAGGTAAAATTCAGTAGTAACATTTTTTATAATGACTTCTCTGTTAAAAGGCCTATGATCATTTGATACTTTCTCTTACACACATCAGGAACGTCTCTCTAAAATTCTACCCTTACTCATTCCCTCTGTATTCTGTTAAGGTCTTTATCATCTTTCCACTATTATTAAACAACTTCCTAACTAGTCTTCTGTTATAATTCTTTCTCCATTCCTTTCACAGTGCCATAAGAAAACAAAACCTAAACCATGTTAAAAAATTTCCAATGCCTCATTCCATTAGGACTCTTACGGATCTGATACAAACTCCTCAGCATGGGATACAGGCCATAGGCCCTTTATCCTCTGGTGCTTGGCCCATTTTCTGGTTGAGACAATCTCATCCCAATACTCCTAAAGCTCTAGCTACATCAATCTTTTTCACATTCTCCAAACACTTCTGACTCTTTTAAGTCACTAGGTTTTTTTTTTTCTCATATAGCATTTTTCTGCCTCAGTTGTTCCACTCTTCTACTCCTGCTCCTTATTAAAGACTTGGGTGAAGTGTCACCTCTTCTGTGAGGCTTTCACTCTCATAGGCTTAAATAAACACTTCCATTAAAGCACTTATTACTGTCAAGATAAAAGAAAATCAGCCACATCCTGATTTTATTTTATCTTACAGGGTTCATTTTAAGCCTTATAAATGTGTCACAAAATTTCTTCTGTGAATTCCACCTGTAGCTATGTCAGTCACTAACATGTAGTTTAGCACATTTCTTAATGACTTTAGGTGTACTGTCTCCCAATTGCAAAGCAAATATCTCAAGATATCCTAAGGAAATTAAAATAAATGATACATATAATTAATCATTCTCTGATACATTGTGATCATATGAGAGACATCATTTGATTCTATGGCAAATTCATACACCAAGAATTTCCACAGTTTTGAATTTTTTGTATGTTCTTGAATTTGGAGTTTCTTTCAAACATAATTTTGATTACTAAAAAATAGAAAGATAAACAAGAAGAGCCCTGCACTTACCTAGGGTTCATGATAAGGCGTCGGAAAAAGTAAGTCCAGGTGATATAATCCATTGCATCTTGCTTCGATGTGATTGTTCCACCAGCAATTTCTGCATTTAAGTGATCAGAGAGCACTCCTAATAAGCTATGTAGTGAACAAGACATAAGAAATGAGCATGAACATTAAATGAAATATGCTTAAATTTAGCTAACACAGTCAAGATTCACATTTTATGTTCTAAGATACAAGTGTATTTTGAATAAATTATATATTTTATATACAATTTGTATATAATTTTTTCCAAATTATTTGGTGAGGATTTTATTTCAGTGTACTTTACCATGAATCTATAAAGTACTCTATATCATGAATTCAAGAACCTATTCTTAACTAGTAAATATATATTTATGTTGTCTTCTTTTTAAAAACTATGACATATTTTTCCTTTGAACCTGAAAATGGGTTAGTCAAAGACAAAATATTTTCCAAAATCCTAAAAAACAGCATGAGAAGTTATGCAGTAACATTTTGTTGAAAGCAACTACTAGTATGTGTCATATAGTAAGTACTCAATGGATAGTACTTACTGCTATCAATCATTTTGGGGAAATGAACTGTTAAATGGAAAAAACAGACATAGACTGACAGGAAGGGAGCTGGTAACTTTCAGAAGGAGAAAACAGTCAAGAGACATAAAGTAAAAGGAGGCAATTGAATATCCACCTTGGAGAGTAGGGTACAGCACTTTTTATGAAGTATTAGAGTAAGTATGGAATAAATACTAAAAAGAATGATAGGATAAAGGAGTAAGATAAGATCGTTCATCATTCATGAAGTGAACATTAGTGCTTGGAAGATAAGGCATTCTTATATTAGGTACTGTGGAATATTACAAAGATGATCAGATGTATTGAAAGACTGGCATAAAAACACTCATCTTAGTTTCTTATACAAAATACAAAAATGGAAGCAATGTTCAACAAGAGAAAAAGTTAAATAAATTATGATACATAAGATGACATACAGGCATTGAAAGGGTGTAAATTTTGTCAAGTGCTTTTTCTTACATTAATGAAATGATCATAGGATTTTTCTCATTTTTTTGGTTAATGTGAATTACATTTGTTTTCAGATAACAATCTTTGCATTTATGAAATAAACTGCACCTGGTTGTACCTTATTTTTATACATTGCTGGATTTGATTTACTAATGTTTTGTTTTGGATTTCTGTATCTGTATTCATGAGAGATATATTTTTGTTACATTCCTTTTTAATAAATTTCTCATTAGGTTTTGACACCTAAGTTATTGTGGTTCAGTAAAATAAGTTGGAAAGAATCTTAGGTTTACTACCACTACTAGGAGGCACTGCTCACGTTATTTCTTCCTTAAATGTTATGAAGAATTCAAGGTGAAACATCAGAGTCAGAAGACTTCTTTGTGAAAAGATCTTAAATTTCAGACTCAATTGCTTTGGCAGATAAGAGACTACTTAGATTTCTTTATCTTATTGTGTCAGTTTTAGTAACATTTTAAAAAGAAAATTTAGAATTTGATCTAAATTTTAAAAATTATTTGTATATGGTTGTTCATAACAATTTTATTCTTTTAATATCTATAGCATGTTTTCCTTCCTGATATTTCAACATAAACATTTATCAATGTTATTCATCTTGTTTTAAGAAAAACAACTACTGGCCCTGCTGATTTTTCTCTATGCATATTTATTTTTTAATTCATTAATTATTCATTTTAATCTCCTTTCTTTGAGTTTAATTTGCTAATTTCTTTTAAAATTATTGAGATGGATACTTAGATAACTGATTTTCACTCTTTTTTAACATCTAAATTCATGGTCGTAAGGAAAGCATGAATATGGTAGAAGTACTATGTATTCATGTATGAAAATGGAACAATGAGACCTGTTGAAACTGTTCTAAGAAGGGGGGCAGGGGAGATAAAGGAGAATGATGGAGGGGATGAATCTAACTAATAACTTTCATAAATGTCATAATGTATCTCTGGTACAACTAAAATATGCTAATAAATGAATAAACAGGAATAAAGTTTCCCCCCAAATTTCTGGGTACAAAATTTTCTTTTAGGCCAATGTTAGCTATATTCTACATGTAATTGTTTTTATTTTCTATATTAAAAAAATGAATGTTATTTGCACTTAGGATAAAAAGTCCAGTAACAATTTACAGCATAAGACAGAAACATGTTTGTTTTTGATGTAGTTAGACTCTAATAAAGGAGGTACAACATGTAAAGAAGGACTATGATGAAAGATAGAAAGTGATGCCTGTTACAAGTGAAAAAATATGTATGATGAAGAAAGGCTATTTTCAGTACAGAAAATGAGGGAATACTTTGTGGCAGGATGTGTAGTTACTGGGCCCACAAATAAGTATGGGACAATTCTGAAATAAGCTAGAAATTCAAATTATTAATTGTATGCATCTTTCTTTTGGACCTTTATTAACTATACCCCAACATCCTTATCAAGCTAATACTTTACTGAAAGCTTATTATGTGACAGACTGTTCCAAGTACTATTCATCTTAGCATTACAAATATACTATGAACTGGACATGGTGCCACACACCAATAAACTGAGGCAGCAGGACTGCAAATTTGAGGCCTGTCTGGGCTAACTGGAGAGACCCTGTTTTAAAAAGCAAAACCAAACTAAACCAAACTAACCAACCAACCAAACAACAAAAATAAAAACAAATACACTATGATATAGCTGGTATTGCTATCATTTCCATTTTATAAATAGGTTTGCCACAGTATTGAGGAATTAAATAGCTTGCTCAACATGAAGGTCATCTGGCAATCCAGGTCATCTGGCAGGTGGAACTGAACTGCTAGTACGCACAGTAGCCAAAACACTGTACCACGATACTTCTTTTAAAAAGTTAGCTTTTAAAAAGAAAAATTATAATTTTATATTGTCTTATAGTGATAATCATATTGTTTCAGATCAAAAAATTCTATTACACTGCAAATTTTACTTATTTTTATCTCAAAATATAACCAGATGAATACCAACTTGCTGGGAAATGAATCCATTTAAATTAGTTTAAAACAAAAATTACCTTGATTCTACTGGGAAAGGTTCATAAAGAAATTTTTTGTAGAAGTCCTTCTTTATATCATGAACCAGAATTACAGCTTTGCCTTGGTCATCAAACTGAGGCCTCCCAGCCCGCCCCATCATCTGGAGCACATCTATAAAGAGAATGAGAGCTCTTCTGCAATGTTGCACACAGCACAGGTATAATTACTGATTAGGACATGCTTTAAATAACAACAAAGTAACAAAGGAAACAAGATTTAAAGAGAACATATGCTATCTCTGATGGCTATTAAGTTACCTAAGTTAATGTAATTTACTCCAAAAATTTATATTAAATAAGTCACTATGTAAAACGGAGTCCCCAAGAGTACTTCACACTATTCATGAAAGAAAGATGAAAGTCGTCTGTTGAAGAGCTATTGCTATTTTACTTAAGCAAGAAACAAGTAAAACATATAGGGAAATCTCTTCAGCAGAGTCATGATTATTTTTCCCTTTGAATAATGGCTCTATTTGGGCCTTTTTTTCTTCCAACCAATGGGATAAAATTTCTTTCTATTATAAATTGTAGGCATCTCTAAGGCAATTAATTTCTTAAAATTATTTAGCTTTTGACTGTATTCATTGAATAGAAACACACCGAGTATATTTCCCTTTTTTGAGCCCACTGAAAATGTTTTTATTCAGATTAGAAATACCTTAATAGAATGCTAGTGCATTAATTGTAGAAAAAAAGCACTTTGGTTCTGGAAGTCTCATGGAATTATCATTTCTAATGAAATGCATTTAAAATCAAACACTTGGATGCTTAATCAACATTTATTATAACTAATAGTTACTAATCAGTACTTTATTTATTTATGAATTGAAGCCATCAGTTATGTTTTCAATAATTAACAAATTAGATAAGTTAAAGTAAATAAAACAACTTAATATTTTGTATAATATTTGCACTGGAAACAAAAAAAATTACAATTTTCTTGTCATATGTGCAAGTGGAACCAATTCTGAAAATTTAATTCCTGCAAATTTAAATTGTTTAAAAGCTAAAACAGGAGCTTAATGTATTTCTATAAATTAAAAAAAATTACCTGTAATGGGAAAGTCTACATAACGTCTTGTTTTTCCATCATAGTATTCTGTTCCCTTAATAATTACTAAATGAGCTGGAAAATTTACACCCCAGGCTAATGTGCTTGTAGCAATAAGAACCTAAAAAATAAAAGATAATATATCTAAGTAAGATGTAATTCTGAAGTAACTTTTAAATATGAGATTGTGGGACACACACACACACAAAATACCTGAATTTTACAGTTCACGAACAGTTCCTCTACTGTTTTTCGATCCCTTTCATGTAGTCCAGCATGATGCATTCCTATTCCAAAAGCTAGTGTCAGCTTCAGGTTGGAGTCTCTCACGGCTCCAATGACGCTGTCCATCTGCAAGTAACAATGCAGTTACAAGGTGTAGGTGCATTAGCTTTAAGATGTTCATATTCAGACTATCATTGATTTAATAATCCCACCAGACAGGAATTGTTCCAATTTATGCTTTCTTACTGAACATGTGACCTTTAGCAAGTCACATAACCTGTCTGATCCTCAGTTTCTATAAATGAGGAATAATAATAATCTCATGTATGGACTTTACCTAATTCGTAGTAATAGATGCTATCAATCTCATATATAAGCTTAGTAATGAGTGAATATGTCTTAAGGACACTCACATCTGTCCAAAAATTGTTTTCCAGAAAAGCATATGACTATATTAGTTTTCATGTTACTATACCTTCAAAAACTTTGAATATCATAAAAAATCAAACTTGCGTATTTTTGTTTATTTCTTTGATCAATGTTTACTGGCTGTTTTCTTTTGTAAAACTTTTCACTTTTTAAATACATGTGTCAGTTTTTTTATTGGCTTGCGATAGCTCTTTATATATATTAAGGGTATTAACTCCTTGTCCATAATATGCTAAAATTATCTTTCTCCAGTTTTTTAGTTAATTTCATTTATGATTTCTTTTTGAACATTACAAACTCAAAGTTATAAACTGCTGCCTCGTGTTTTATTACTTAGAAAAGTTTTCCTAAAACACATATATATTTCTTCAACTTCTGTTAGTTTTGCTTTTTACACTTAATTTTGTATAAAAATCATGGTGAAAACCAGTTTATTTTTCCTAATAACCGATTAGAAACATTGGCTATATAATTCCTTATGTCACTTATGAATACAAATTTTCTTATATTAAAAATGTTTATATATTCTAGCTTTTGCATTTTAAAACATTTCATTTTCAGCCTCAGTTTAGTTCAGTAAAATTTCATATGGCCCCATGTTTTTCAAAACTCTCATTTTATAAATACTCTCTGAATAATCTATCACTTCCCATTCCACAGGGAAAATACGTAATGCAAAAAAATTTGATACAAACAAGTAGCAAATCTATTTTCTTAGAAAACTTATTCCTTTTAAAGAACTAAATAGAAAGTTTAATCTCTTTGTGTTTGTGATCTATAACTTGTCCTTAAAGAAGAGAATGACGTTAAGGTCCAGTGGAGGAAGCTCTTCCTGGGCAACTCTGTAAGTGGAATAATGCAGAGATCATGTGATGCACAAGCACTTGACACAAGGACATCCTCAGGTTATTTCTATAGGTTTATCTCCACATTCAAACAGTACTTAGTAGTGGAAAACGAACTTAAAGATGTATAATTTTTATATGACTGAGAAGTATGAAAAGCTAATATTGTCTTCAGATCACATTTCTTTTTTCAACAACCAAAAAACTAAATATTTTTAATGTGGGAGCAAGCGTCTTTATACTAACAATCCATGAAGTAAGTTTTATAATTATTATACTTCACATTACAGATTAGTGCAATCTATATATAATTTTAATATTACTTAATATTAAAAATTAGTACTTCATAACATTTAATATTATGAATTACTGTATTTACTACCCATTAATAACTACTAGGTATAGAAAGCACTATGTAGACTTGGTGATACTTAATTGACACCCACATTAGAAATGTTACTTATTAACTTTCACTGAGTTAAATGCAATGTATAAGCAGTTCATTTGTTTCAAAATACAGTAAGGCTGCCTGATATTCCTACACTATTTATTTTATAAATTATTAAGAAGGAATATGAAAATGTATTATCATAAATCCATGCTACTTCAAAAGTAGCACAGGATACATAAGCTGTCTATAATGCATACTATAAAGAAAGGTTCTGGTCTATATTAATTATGTTAGCCATTCTCATGTGAGAGATTATTGTCCTTTTATTTGTTCAATATAGTTTAGTGCATAAAATATCTCCAACTTACACTATCCAGTATTAATTTACTGATGTTCTTTCTCTGATCATTACTTTCAGAGGTTTTTTGTTTTATTACTAAAATAGGTAAAAACCAATTGTGTCAATTATGGTGCCCCATGGCAATGCCAATCACACCTAAAAATTATCTACCATTTGCCAAAGGAAGCCTATGGCAGGAGGTCTGGTGAGGCATTAGTATCTTGCCTTTGCATCTGGGAAAGCTCACTGTTTCTCACTCTCCCCACCCCCACTTTCACATAAATCAGTGCATTAAGAAGAAAAATTTGCTTATTCCAACGGGCAAAGACTTAAAATCCTCATGAGGACAATCACAGAAAACAACTTCATTTATTACATGATTCCTATGGATGAATTCAGAATGATCTAAACATTAAAAAGCATAATTTATAGTTATTATCAATCTTAAGCATAAAATATCACTAAAACAGCCTGCATAAGCTTGAAAATATATTTTTGGATAAAATCATATATATTTGTTACTGTATTTAAAAATAAGTTTCATCTTGATCAAAACATCATAAAACAAGCAAAAAATTTCAGGATAATGTTTAGGTAATGAAAGCTTAAAACATGATAAAACATTATTTCTTGAACATTTATTATGTGTCTGCCATTGTGCTTATCATTTAACAAAGATTATCACGTAATATAGTTTTTTTCAACATTAGTTTACACAACTCAGTATGTTTCCAGTTAAGGCTCAGTGACTTTGAATAACAAAGTGTAGCTCTTCTCAACACTGATTCAATAAAAGAATTAAGACTCACAAAACTATCTGGGGGGTAAGATGAATGAGATAAGTTAATTTACTACATAAAATGGATGCCTCAGGACATTAAGGGTTAATTCTTGTTAAGAAGAGCTGCTATAGAACTAAGAATAAGCATAACAAAGAAAACAATAGAGAAACACTTCATTTCTGTTCAACAATATTTCTTGTAATATATAGGTATCTTTCCAATAAACAGCCTTTGAAATATGTTCGACCACCTGATAGTCAAACCAAAAAAATATTCAACATTGTACTTAAGAGAAAAACAGATCTATGTTTTTTGAAGTAGTGGTATTTTTCAGGGTGATGGGGGAGAAGGCACATATGTAAACTGTTGAACCATTTACTTTAATTTAATAGAATTTTTATATTTTAAATTTATTATACTCAAAAAGCTTTTGTAGAAAGATAGGATTCCATTTAAGTAGATACATTACTCTGGGCCTGAAATACATTCCAGTCAGAATATAATTCAGTGAGTTGATGACAATGCTGGCTCCAAAAGAAAGGAGGAGACCAGATTGGACAAGAATGAGCTAACAGATTGTGCAGCCCAATTCTGTCCTTTTGAGTGTGATATATTGTTTCAAGATGCTAAAAACCCATACTTTTTCAAAGCATATCTGTTGTGCTGGTTTTCCCATTTTCACAGAATTCTCATTATCAGAACTCTGTACTCTTTCAAAGCATGTCAGACTCAGACCATATGCCACTGAATAATGCTTATCAATTGTTTAAAATGCTCAATGAAAGATGCACCACACAGAATAATCATGAATGTTACGAAGACTTTTTTAAACAAAAATAATTAAGCATGTCACATCTGGTACAGATGTTACATGAAGTGAAAACATTTCCTTGTAATTACCAAATATTAATTTCTTATAATATACTTCCATATGATAAACCCTACAATTGAAGGGTAAAAGTTAACAGTACAAGAAACACTTTAGAATATTATATTGATCTACTAGTAGTAAACAATTAAAAAAATAATGCATCTAAAAATAAATGTTTCCAAATCTTGTCAATAGTACAAAATTAAATTTCTTTTCCGCTTCTTCTGAAGTCCAAAGACAACCACACCTCAAAATGACTCATTATACTGTTAAGTATATATATATATGTGATTAAATATAATAAATTGGGCTGGGGATATAAATCAGTGGTAGAGGGCTTCCCTAGAATATATGAGGCTCTGGGTTCAATCTCCAGTGCTATCAAAATATGAAAAAAATTACATTTGAAATAAATATACAAATAAAAATGTGGATTGTATATATAAATAAAATCTAAGCTGTTAGAAATAAATCTTTTCTATGCCTACCAAATAAACACAACAGAACTTTCAATGCTTTATTTTTCATGTGGCCTAATTTTTAATGACAGCAATATCAAACTGGGTTATAGTGTAAGACATTAAGATTATTTTATTATTTACAGTTCTAATTTAATTTTCTATGCTGATGGTAGGAAATCACAGTGTAAACATTTCATGTTTATTTTGAATATAATTCTTATGCTGATTTCCATTTTAATACATGCTTGGAGAGTATTTCCCTATATTGAAAAGCTTTTAAAATGCAGATAAAGTTGATTTGAAAAAAATTATTATAATTTTCTAAAGTAGCCTATATAAAAATATTAACATGAATTAGATTTGTGAAAGATTATAGGCAAAAGGGTATAAATATAAGATCAAATTTTACTGTACAGATTTATAAGGAAACCATAGGGTATTATTCAATGTCATACTATTAATAGCAATACAGGTTGAGTATCTTATCTGAAATGCCTGGGACCAGAAGTGTTTTAGTTGTGGGAATTTTCAGATTTTGGAATATTGCACAGACTACCAATTGAGCATTCCTAATCTGAAATGCTAATAACTTTTTTTTTTTTGAGTGCTGGCACAACCTCTAACAGTTAACATTTATTGAACATTTTAGTATCTTAAATGTTATAACACATTTAATCACTACAACATACCTTTGAATATGGGGTTATTATTATTTATTTTACAGAAGAAAACATGAGGCTCAGGGGTGAACAGTCAGTACTGAACCCAGGAAACCTGTCCCCAGTGTGTGACCTCAACTACAATGCCACCCTTAAATCATTACATGTATGAGAGAGATTACTTCAGATAACTAAAGTACTAAGTAATGTATTAGACATACACAGCTGAAGAACTCTGTACAGATGACTTACAAATATATTTATTATTTGAGTATTTGTATTCCTATGCATAAAAATGAAGAGTATCTAAGGTTTTTTTTGCCTCCTAAAATTTTCTCATGATTGAGA